CCCCCTGCACCCCAAGTGCCTCCTCTGCAAAATCAGGGGATGGAGGAATAATGAACATGTGTTGTACAGTATCAATAATTCTTTATGTTTGTTTATACATAGTACTGAGTTTCCTATGTGTGTTTTTAAATTCCATTTCTAATTTTCTAGGAATTAGAAATTCTAATTTCTAGAAGGCCATGGTTGTAATCATCTGACCCACACCTTCCTCGTCTCCTTTGTCCTGGGACTGGGGACTCAGTCTCCTACAGTTTGGGTGAAATAAGTAGCGGGTGTGAAATTCCTGGGAAGAACTTGGTCTAATGTTTCTGATAGAGTGGGGCTGCAGGGGCTAGAAGGGGGGTGGGCTGACCACATCAAAATGCCACTTTCCTTCATTCTGGGGTGATTCCAAATGGTCCTATATTCACCACCAGCTCGCATATCGCTCTGCACAGCATTACATGTTAGGTTTCTTTCCAAATATTTACAGAAGCTGAAGTTCAGAGTAAAGTATGACTGTGCTTAACCAAGTATCGGCTGGGCGGCTGGGCGGTTCAGGGCAGGCCAATAAAGAGAAAGGAGGGCTTTTTGTTGGGCTCGGGAAACTTGTCTAAGCATTTGAAATACTGAAACATCTTTCCTAGAAATTATCTTCAGAGGATATGACACAATTGTGATTCTATAAATAATGGGGGCCCCGAGGACACGCCAGTGGAGTTTGTGGAGTTTATTCTGAAAACACAGGCCAACAAAATATTCTTTGTGATGCAAGCACCATGGATGTGGGGGGAGGAGGGCCCAGATTTAATGACGCCCCGTTGCTTGGCCTCCGTGGTTCGCACACCGAGGGGTCTGGTGTGTGTAAAGGACTGGAAGCAGACCCTGTTGGCGGCTTCCGGTCCTCTCCTTTCCTTAGCTGTCCCCAGCCTTTAGGGGGTTGATGTGGGAGCTGGTATTTCGGGAGGGACTGGTATCACTTTCCCATGGATAGGGTTCTTGTTCTGTAGACTGAGATTGCGTTTCAAGAGGACATTGTATTCATGCAGGTCTGTGTTCACTAAACAAATCCTCGCATGAAAACACTTTCTGTTTCTATTGTTCATACTGGGCCAGGCAGTGCTTTTCCATTTGCTGGAGAAGCTTAGCCTACAGAACAGATAACAGCAGGAAAGCAGAGCCGCTCTGGGAGGCAGGGGATGGGTTCCTTTGCCAGTCCTGGGCAATAATGCCAGGGTCTGCCCACTCGGGGTCTCTTCTTAGCACAACTCCAGGGGGCGCTATTCACACAATACAATGAGAAGGCATTGCTCCCTCTTCCCTACATACCTCCTGTCCCAAACCCCTCCTGGTAGCTACTAAGGCACCTCCAGGGGCTCCATGGAACACAGATGAAAATCAATTGATGGGCCCAAGTAACTGTGACTCTCCTTTTCAATGGCCAGCTTTTCATTTCCAGAAACATTTAATTCTTAGGGGGCTCTTTGGACAGAACCAGGTTGTCTGATCTTAGTACAAAAACACATTGCGAGGGTGAATTCCAGACCAGCCTCAAAGGCTTCTAGTTAACCAGGTAGGGAGAGTTTTAGAAAAATAGGGATGTAAACCAATTCCTCCAAATTGACAGTGAGCCCACAGCAGAACCCTATAAAATGGCTTTGGCTACAGCAATTAATGGGCTAAAATACAGACCATAAGTCTCCGACCCCAGAGAATCTGACTTAGTAGGTCAAGGGTGGGGACTGAGAACTCTTATTTTTAACAAGTTCTCAAGTCGGTTTGATGCTGTTGTTTCAGGATTAATATTGGTAGAGAATAGCCTTACTCAGGTACTTAGTAGTTTAAACACACACACACACACACACACACACACACACGCTCGCATGTATGTGCCTTTATAGTCACAGGCAATGACAGCCATCCCAGAACCTCTATCCACGGCCCCAGTCATGTGGGAAGAAGGTCGAGGTCACAGAGAAGGTTTTCAGCTCAGTCTGCACAGCTCCAGGCATAGAGGCCCTGGGAGTGTGGGGTCAGCTGCCTTTGATCATTTCTCTGGGCACGATTTGAAAGCAGAGGGCCCTCAAGGCTCATATACAGTGACGATAAAATTCCGAAGCTTTATTGTCTTTTCATCTGCTGGCAGCACACAGGAAACACTATTTCGAGTGAGGAGCAGCCAGCTCCAGCCGAGGTAGGAGCTCGGGCTGGGGAATCTTGGAATTCTCGTCCACTTTCTGCTACCGACTTGCTGTGTGGTCCTGATCAGTTACAGATGGCTCCTGACTCACAGCAGCCTTTCCTTGTCCAGTGGTCACAGGCAGCAATGGCTGCTCAGCCTACATTATAGTTACGTTATTGTTGTGAAATTGAAATGAGATACAGGGCACAGAAGTGCTTTGAATAGTTACAAGCACTCCACCAATATAAAATAGGAGACCAGCAAACTGCTGATACTCCCCTAGAGGCTTCTTGCAATTAAAGACCGCTGTTTGGGGGGAAAGACTCACCATTAAGTGCCTAAAATAGCTACTTCACTTTGTTGGCTTAAACTTTTCATTAGATTGAAAAATTAATTGTATAAAAATAATTTATACACATCTCTTCAGGAGTGTAGCTCTGAGGTGTATCACATCCATCTTGGGGGTGGTAAGCACTTAAATTAGAACGATAATAACAGCGAACGCCTGTATGCTCACCGCTTGCCAGGTGCCTTTTATGTTTGTCTTATTTAGCTCACGAATTAACCCCCTGAAGGTGTACTGGTGAGGATCCTGGCTCCTGCTTTACAAATGAGGATGGAGAGGGTAGGTCCCCTGCCAGCGGTAGATCCAGGACCTGAACCTGTGCTCTCTGATTCTCCGGCTTTGCTCCTGAACTTGACACTCTCTGCTTTCCTAGCCTCCCTGATAAAGCAGCGTTTCCCAGACTGGGCATGGCCTTTGGAGCTGGACTGTTCTTTGTTGTAGGGCACTGTCCTGTGCATTGTAAGATGTTTAGCAGCACCCTGGCCTTGACCCACTAGATGCCAGTAGCACTCAGTGTGACAACCCCAAATGTTTCCAGACATTATCAGATATCCTTGGGGAGGGGGGGGGCGCAAAATGACCCCTGATTGAGAACCCCCTGTTGTAAAACAACTCTCCACCCCCCAGTTCCGTATTCCAGATTGTGGCTTCTCTTAGAAATAACGCAAGACTCAGTTTCAATGTAACTCCTTGCCCTGGTGCTTGATCACTCACAATTTGATAGGCTTGAAAGGTGGCCCGTAGCTGCTTGTAGCTCCTCTTGGCCAGGACTTCGTTGAAGGCAAGTTCGTCAGTGCCCCAGCGGCCTTCCCCTGCCTCCGGAGTCAAACACAAACATTTCATAAAAGCCTTTGCAAAAGGACTGAATAGACAGTGTTGGGGCCAGGCCTTACGTACAGGAAATGATAAAATATACTTTGAATAGAAGCCAAATTGATTGACTAAACACTTGAAGCTTCTAACCCATGAGTATACTTCACTTAATGGTTTATATTATTTACACCCCCTCCCCACCCCCAACCTGGTTACAAAATGGATCTGAGGTGGTTAACCCCCGAGTATAAGAATAGGACTTATTCCTTTAGGTTCATGATGACTGTAAATATTTAAAAAAATTCAAAAATCATACATTTTTCCTGAGTAACTCCCATGTGCATGAAATAAAGAAACGTTTGTTGGAAATAAGGCTAATCCATTTTCAGAAAGATGTTGCCGAGACTGGCACGCCTGCCCACTTACATCATACAGCTCTTTGGCATCCTGACCAGCTAGATCTTTGTCCACATCATCTCCTTCATCACGATTAGCCTAGAAAAATCGACACATTGTTATGAACTTGCGTTCCTGCCTGAGCACAGAAAACAAAAAGAGGAAAATGGGATGGTTTCAGAGGGGTGGCCTGGGAGAGTCAGCCTGGCGAAGCGCTGCTCTTTGCTGCCATCTTTTGGGCACAACTGATAAACAGAATAGTTTTAGGACAACACTTGTTTTTTCTTTTCTCTCTCTCTCTCTCTCTCTCTCTCTCTCTCTCTCTCTCTCTCTCTCTTTTGTAGGAAACAGGTCACTCATAAACCCACTGACCTCTTAAGCAGGCTGAAAGCAACCTCACAATGTCCCCTAAGGTCAGTCCATTGGAAAGTTAATAGTCTTCCTGTCAGAATATCGAAGTTCGCCTCCTAGGGTCCCACTCCTGAAGAACCCTGAAGGTTGGCTATGGAAGGTCTTGAGGTCTAACCTAAGCCCTTTGTGGCAGAGAATTCTAAGATGACCCCAGTGGCCCTCACCCTTGCATAATCCCTTTCCCTCGACTGTGGGCAAGATGTGTGAATGTAATGAGATAGCACTCCTGCGATTATGCTGTGTTAACAAGGCAAAGGGGATGTTTGCAGATGTGATTAAGATCCCTAATCAGTTGAGATCATCAAAAGGGATAGTGTTCTGGGTCTGAGCCAATCAGGTGAGTTCTTAAAAGGTCAGAGATGGAAGAAGTCTGAGAGATGAGCTCCTACAGGCCTGGGAGAAAACAACTTTGAACTGTCTATGGGGGCATTTGATAAGGACTGCAGATGGCCTCAAGGAGCTGATAGTGGTCTCTGGTTGGCAGCTACCAAGAAAACAGGGACATCAGTCCTACAGCTACAAGGAGCTGAAACCTGCCAACCTGCCAGGCTTCAGTAAGCTTGGAAGAGGATCCAGGTCCTCAGATGAAATGGTGGCCCTGGCCTGACTCCAGGGTCTCAGCCTGGAGAGACCCTGCACAAAGGACTCTGCTGGCCTGAACAGGATTCCTGACCAGTAAAAATGGGGAGACCATAGGACCGTGTTGTTTTGAGTTGCTAGGTTTGTGGCGATTTGTTATACAGCAGGAGAACCCGTATATACTTCCTACCACAGCCTGTCTATCCACATGGAGAGGAATGAGCAGAGGAAATGCACCGAACTCGTAAGATGGATGTGTCAATGAGATATAGATGCTGCCTGGCTGGAGGCCTGGCTGGGAGCTGTGTCCTTGCAGGGCCAACTCTGAAAGCCCCACTTTCCTGGCCAAGCTCCCTGCAGGGTTCTTACAGGGAGACAGAGTTGTGTTGTGAAGAGGGCCCTGCTTGGGGTCAGATGGCCTGATTCTGGTTCCTGGGCTGGGTCTTACTCTATGTAAACCCGGGCAGGTTACCCATCCTCTCCGGGCTTGAGTTTCCTCATTGAAAAAGGAGGTGGTGAGGCCCAATGAGGTAACTCGGCAACTTTCAACCTTCTTCATCTCATGGCACATAAGCTAATTACTAAAACTCTGCGGCACTCCGAAAAATATACTAGTATTTTTTGCTGATTTGGCAAAAAAAGGTACAATTTTGATTCATTTACACCAGATGGCTATGGTTGTTGTCATTTTATTATTTGACAATCTGAGGGAAAAGAGGTCAGTGCCCCTGACTGAATAGTCAGATACTGCGTGTTTTAAAAGTTCTTGCAGTGGACCCGTTGAAAATACCTGAGATACTCATGAACAAAAAGGGATTGTAAACTGCAGATGACTAGGCTATTATTGTGGGGAAATTCCCAATTGAATAATTTCACAATAGCTGATCTGACAGCCTGGGTTGATGATCCACGGGAAGCACTTTTAATAAAAGAAGGAGATGTTTACTGAGTACATGGCCTTTTCCCGTCATGGTGCCGGGTTGCCCAGGGCTGTTTCCCAGCCTCATAAAGCTCAGGAGACCTCTTTGCTCTTCTTACCTGTAGCAGGGACACCAGAATTTTTTTTAGGTTTCCACTCGTATCATCTTTGACATCTGATTCAAGGCTCCTGTCAAATACTTTTGAAGAAGAAAATGGGAAGGAAGAAGCAGAGGATTTAGTTCCCCACAGGCATTTTGAAAGGAACATTCTTCATCTGAAATCAGACGAAAGGTTACTTACACCTTTGGTAGGCCTCTTTGATGGCGATGATTTCCTAGAAAAGATAAAAAAAAAAAAATCGATACTCCGAGGTGGGTTAATGGATAAGAGACAGAGACACACACAGAGGGAAGAGTCCGGGACTGGTCTCTGGACACAGGATGCTTACAAAGAGGGCCAACCTATGGGTCAAGGCCTAGGCCTGGAGCAGATCCCGGGAGGTAGGGAGGGGCCCCTTCCGTGCAAACATTTCAGACACACGAGTAAGGTATACGAACATTCTTCTTAGCTCTAGAAAGGGGTATAGCTAAGCTAGTGTCTTTCATTACCTCCTCACCACACTTCACGCCTCCAACCCCACCCAGGTAGCCAGCGTTGGAAGTTCAGTGCATATCTTTGAAAATAATTTTCTTTGCCTTTGTAACGTGTGTGTGTGTGTGTGTGTGTGCGCGCGCTACTGAAAATATATAGAACCGTTTTGTGGATGTGTTTTAAAAGTGGAATACTGAACATATGGTGCTTGAAGTTCTTTTTTTCGTTCAGTAATATATCTTGGAGATCCAGCGATGCTTATACAGTTACCCAGTGTTTTTTAAATGGATGTAAAAGGTTCCTTCCTGCGATAAACCACAATTTGTTTGGCCAGCCTCCAGTTGATGGACATTTAAGTTGTTTCTGATTGTTCCCTACTTCAAACAAGGCTTTGTTCAGTAGACAATTTGTTGTGTGCAAGAGTATGCGTTTGTGTACAGGGTGTGTCCTGGGAGAGTTGCTTTATATTTCAATGGCTGGTGCCAGGGGATCCACTCAGGCGCTGCCTCAGTTTACACTTGAAGCAGCAGTGGGTGCCAGGCATTTCTGCACAGTATCACCTGCAGGCTGTTTAAAATGAAAGTCAGCATGCAGTGATGGGTGGTGGGTGGGGTAGGTGGACAATAGCAATGAGAAGCCTGGCTCCTGTGCTTTTGTGGGTGGGAGGGGAGGTAGATGGGGGGCAGGGGGCCCACTTGTGTCTAAGCCAGTGGTTCTCAACCTGTGGGTCGCGACCCCTTTGGCGGTCGAACGACCCTTTCACAGGGGTCGCCTAAGACCATCCTGCATATCAGATAGTTACATTACAATTCATAACAGTAGCAACATTACAGTTATGAAGTAGCAATGAAAACAATTTTATGGTTGGGTCACAACATGAGGAACTGTATTTAAAGGGCCAGAAGGTTGAGAACCACTGGTAAGCAGCTCCCTTCCATTTCCCCTCCTTCCCACCCACTACCTGGATCTGCCTGAACCCGAGGCCTGCTCTCTCTCTCTCTGCTTTCCTTCTTTTTACTGTCAGACCTACTTGATTGACAATAAGAGGCTTTGCTTGTTGTTTGAGACCAGGACCCAAAAGGAACTAGGCTGAGAGGGAACAGCATATGGTCAAGTAGGATTAGAAAACTACTCCCCAAAGTAACCTCTGGCCAAGGCAGGCTGCTGAGTGCCCTGATCTTGGACGCTCGAGGGGACTGTGTTGCTTCTGCAGCGGGGAGACCATTGAGGAGGGAAAGTTGTGTGACTGTTGGGCTGAACAGATGCCACTGCCCTTTGCTAACCCTCCTCTAAGGCACAATTTTAAATGGAAACTCCCAGAAACAGAGGGTTTTTTATTATCTCGTGGGAAGTGAGGAAGTCCAGGCAAGCTCTGGAGAGGGTTTTGGAGCTGTGGCTTGGAGCATGGTGGCGCTTCTGGAACTCAGTCGGACAGCCCAGGCCCAGCAGAAGCCACCAGCTCAGGGTCGTGGGCACGCAAGGCTTAAAGGGCCTTTTAGTGGCAAAGCTCTGTTGCTTCCTGCTCCAACCACTGCTCCTGGTTCCTACCCGGAGGCCTCACGACTGTTGGGATTTTCTGGCATTTTCTTGCTGGGCCTCCCCGGTTTACTGCGATGGGTGGTTGTGGAAGAGGGAGGGGTGTCTCCAAATAATGATTTTAGACCTTCTTTACCCTTGTGGCTTCTGGAACCTAAGATAAATGGGCTTCCCCTGAGGCCTTAGCAAATGCTCTTTTCAGCTGCTGGAATGTGGCATGTGCCCAGGGGGCAGGGGAGAGGGCTGCAGATGGAAGGACACAGGAACCTCCAGAGAGGGGCTGGCAGCCCTGGGGTCCCCCTGCACCACCCACCTCTCTGCCTCCGTATGGTCCTTTCTGTGCTCCCTGCTAGGTGAGAGCCATGCACCGGGCGGTGCCCACACACGCTTGGACTGCTTATCGCAGTATTCATTCCAGAGACCTGCAAAGTCGGGCTGGGAGGGAGGAAGCAGAGCCTTTCCTGCTGCGTATAAAACTGTGCATCTGGCCCTAACCGGTTTGGCTCAGTGGATAGAGCGTCAGCCTGCAGACTGAAGGGTCCCAGGTTTGATTCCGGTCAAGGGCATGTACCTGGGTTGTGGTCACATCCCCGGTCAGGAGTGTGCAGGAGGCAGCAGAATCGATGTTTCTCTCTCATCGATGTTTCTAACTCTCTATCCCTCTCCCTTCCTCTCTCTAAAAAGTCAATAAAATATATATTTTTTAAAAATACTGTGCATCTGTTTAGAAAAACAAAGGCTGCCTTGGTACAGCCTTTCTGGAAGCATCTGTTATGTCAAGCCGGTGGCAGTAACCCCAAGACTGACAGCCAGAGGATTGAAGAGGCAGCTCTCCTGCATGGGCCAAGCGGACACATTTCTGCCCAAACACTTGCTCTCCCAAAGGGTGCAGTGTCCCTTCTGCCTGCTGCTGCCATCTCCGAGGGGTGTGAGGGTGCTCCCTCGGGACCGGGGCCGAGGGCTTGGCTGGAACTAACCTTATTGGTTCTTGTGCACAGGACCTCGATGAGCATTGCCTCATCCGTGCCCAGACCCTTCATGGCCTTCTGCAGCTGCCGGGCATCGTATTCGCTCGGGCGGTCCAGCAGCGCCAAGGCTGTCTTCTTGAAATGCCCGCTCAGCTCACTCTCCAGCACTTCCTGCAGGTCCTGTTGGAAGACAGCAGGAGCCCTGGCTTTGAATGGCCTGGGAGAAGAGGGGCAGGGGTCTGCTCCCACCACATGGCCTCGGGTCCACAAGAAACCTACTATGGGCACTCGAGGGGTGATCGAAACAGGAGCTCTATGGACACAGCGACCTGCTCTGGGGGACAGTGGTCACCCTGACTACCCATCCATTCCCCCCAGGACTGGCAGAGGGGCAGAGAGAAGATCCCCTGCTCCGGTCTGGAGGCCCCAAAGGTGAATCACAACAACAAGCAGCATTTGCAGAGTATTTGGGGGCTCAGAGGGCTTTCTCACTGATCTCCAAAACGGCCCCGGCAGGGTATGTATGGACAGTACCCCCATTTACTGACCTCAAAAAGATGAAGGACTCACCCCCAGACACTCAGCCAGAAAGGATTAAAATACAGAATACAGGCTTGTAATTTCTAGGGGGAGCAGATCTTTTGTCACCCAAATGGGAATGTTTGAAAGTGAACAGGCTAATTTCAGAAGAAAATAGGACTGAACAGGGACCTTCTTGGGCAAACCGGATGTCTGGTCACTCTGGTTTTCTTGTGAAATCCTGAAAGGAACACTTACAGTAGGTGATGTTTGGATTATCAGATCAACTGTGCGGTATCACAGTACTTGTGTTCGAGTCACCCTTATTTTACTTAATAATGCCACATCCCCATAACTTGTATTATAGTACTAGAGGCCTGGTGCACGAAATTCATGCACCTCCGCCCACCACCACCATGGCCCCCACTCACTGCAACTTTGTCTGGAAGGAAGGAAGTCCAGAAGGACATCCAGTCTAATTAGCATATTACACTTTTATTATTATAGATTATTGCCCCTGATTTTTATGGAGGCTTGCTATGCAAAAGACCATAAAAATGATGTCTATACAGTTGCGATACAATTACTTAAAAAAACTTTGATATGTTACTCTAATGTTTTAAGCTTGTCTTATTGATTTTCTATGTCTCTTATTTATTACATAGTGTTATAATTGTTCTGTTTTATTGTCAGTTAATGTTACTCTCTTCCTGTGCCTCATCTATAAATTAAGCTTTAGCATAGATGCGTATGGATAGGAACAAACAGGATATATTAGGGTTCGGTACTATCTGCAGACTCAGGCATCCTCTGAAGGTTGTGGAATGTGCCCTCTGTGGCTGGGGCTGCTGTATATAAAAATGCAGAGAAAAGAAACCCAGCTGCCTATTCTGACAAGCCACAGGCATGAAAACAAATCCTTGTGCGTTTCCATTCTGCTTGGACACGGAAGCCGGCTCAGGGTGCCTCAGACCTAACCCTGGTTCTCCAGCTAGCGAGTCGTGTCACCTGGGGACGGGTGTTCTCTCTGAGCTCAGCTGGCCGGGGTACTTCGGTTTGTTCTTCTCTAACGTCTTCTGGCTTCGCAATGCCGTGATTCTAGATCACGTCTCTGGAAGTCCCGCTGTCTGGAATTGCAAAGCTTTGTGCCAGAGCATGCGCCCTTTATCTTTACCAGAGCCCCGAGGCCCCACTTCAAACCCACTGACTCTTATTTCACAGTAAAACTGAAGAAGCCTGTGTCGGACTTCCCATATTGCTACCGTCGGAATAGACATGGCACAGAGGGGCTGCTGCAGTTAGAGGGGCTGGCATGGATGATGGCTCAACGTCATTCAGTCCCATTAAATGCAGCCCAACTGCAGTGTTATCAGTGAATGACATTGACAAGCCTGAGTGTGAAGAGAGATACAGAAAGACGGTAGAAGCACAGCCATCGGGGCCGCCTGGTGTATCAACAGCTGTCTCATGGCGACAGGTTCTCCAGGAGGGAGCTCTAGATCTGAGTCCTGGTTCTTTCTCTTACTTGCGTGTGATTTTGCATAAGTCATGTAAACAAATGAGCTCCACTCCTCCTCTCTGTCAAATGGGAACATTCACGCCCAGCATAACTCCCCTGTGCTGCTATGTGCTGGCATTCTTCTGCTTGATTCGCCCAGAACCTGAGAAGGGAGGTAATTATCATTGTCCTTCTATATGTGAGAGGACCGAGGACTAGAGTTTGTTGCCAGCCCAATGTCCAATTAGTCAGAAAAATCCATCTCTCGGTATGTCTGTTTATAAAGAGTGATTGAAACTATAGAGGTTTCATAAATGTGGATTAGAATACATTATAATAATTAACACTCACTTTGCATACTGATCATTCTAAAGACATTAAGGAAAGGTTAAATTGTGTTCATTATATAGTAATATAAAATACAAAGCCTAATGCATACTTACTGATTTCTATACATAACACCATCAACAACAATAAAATGAAAGAAATGTTTTGGTGGCTCTTTTTTCGTTTTCTGTACCCATCACTTATGAAAGATGTATCATTCTTGAAGACAGCCCAAAAAAATGAAGAATTCTTCGATAAAGACCCACTTGTGAAAACTGATTTTCAAATCACTGGGCTATCTGTAAGTTAATATGTGGAATTAGTCCAAATGAGTGGAGAAAATGGCAGAGGGATTAATAGAAAAATGAAGTCAATTTAAAAAAAAATGAGTTAGAGAATACTGGTTTTACGGGCCATTAAGTTAACGAGGCAATTTCAGTTTTTCTGAAGTCAATTCAAGTTTTAAATAGTTATTTCATTTTTCCTCTTGGGCTAATTCGGTGAAGCTGTAAAGACACTCTCTGCTGCCTGGGGAACATCGAGGAGGCAGAGATGTCAAGGCCCAGGCCGTATGCACGCTAGCGTGGGCCCTTGGACTCACCTTGCCATACGTTGCCTTGTACTTTTGCTTTATTTGTTGCCTCTGATTCGATGTCCTGCTTGATAAGATTTCAATGATGGTCGCTTCATCAGTTCCTAAAGGGCAGGAGAGAGAAGCAAAGTAAATGTGAACAGGAAACAAGATGGAGACTTATTGTAGTCAAGTGTGAGGAAGCCAGGCTCGTGGTCAGAGGCTGTGGTGGAACCCAGAGGGACCCTTTAGCTTTAATGTCTTGTGGGGAATGGTATTCTTTTCACTCGCTTGACAAATACCCATGGAGGCCTTACACTGCATGAAGCACGGTGCTAGGCAGTGTGGTGGTAAAAGGAAGAAGTATGTGGCCTATTCCTTAATTTCACTCCTAAGTATATACTTGAGAAATGAAAACAAATGTCCATGCAAAATGTGTACACAAATGTTTATTGCAGCATCATTCATAATAGCCAAAAGATGGAAACAACCAGAATGCCCATCAGTAGACAAATGGATAAACAAAATGTGGTATAGCTATGCGACAGAATATTATTTAGCCAGGAAAAGGAATGGAGTACCAATACCAGCCACAATATGAATGAGCCTTGGGAACATTATGCTAAGTGAAAGAAGCCAATCTTGGAAGACCACGTTAAATGATTCCACTCATGTGGAAGTTAGGAATAGGAAAATCTATAGAGACAAAATGTAGGTTAGTGGCTGGCTGTGTTGGGTGGGGGACTGAAAGCTGAAGAGTGGAAAGTTTCTTTTAGAGGTGATGAAAATGTTCTAAATTCAGCATGGTGATGGGCCATTCCCTTAGTCTTAAGGATTAGTTTCCACTTCACAATTCTGGGGAGACCTAGCTTTTTTATTTCAATTAGAGAAACAGAACATTCTAGGGTGAGCTCACTTGTAAAAATAGTAGGGGTTAACTGCCTGCCTCATTCTGGTTCAGTTCCAACACTGTTATTTATGTTGTTCCTCTTCATTTCCTCCTGTAACATTACCTACGTAATGTGTATCCGGTTACTTCCTCTGTGACATTTTTTTAACTTCTGAGTGCCAGAAATCTCACCTCAAGAGGGATTTCTTTAAAAATCTCGTGAATCCACCCCTTTCTTTCCATGTGCGCTGCTCTTGCCTGGGTCTAGGGCACCCGTATTTCAAGCCTGCACCTTTACGCTTGTCATCCCTGGAAAGAGCCGTCCTACCTCCCAGGTGGCCCCTTCGCTGTATTGTGTTATCCAGGAATCTGGGGCTCATCCCTGGCTTCCTGTTTTCCCTCACCCCACATCCAATCAGTCACCACTAACACCTCACCATTTCACCGTTCAGGTGCAGCTGTTTCTCTCCATCTTGACCTCTGTCACATGGCTCAGCAGAACTAATGACACCCGTCTGGGTTTCCTGCTTACTCTCCGCTTTTCCAATCAGCGTCCCCTATCCCCAGAATGACCTTTCTGATGAACAGGTCAGCCTGCGCGTGCCTCTTCGTCACACCTTTCAACACAGGCCCCTTTAAATCCATAATCCAGTCTCAACTCTTCAGTGGGGCACATGCAGCCTTTTGGATTAGTTCCTACTTGCCTCTCAAAGCCTGCTCCCTCCCCACTCACCTCTCCCAGGCCTCCCTTCCATCAATTCTATGGATCACTTGCAGCTTCTAGTACAAGCAGCACTTTCTCTCTCACCTCTGGGCGTTGCATGGGCTGTTCCCTCTACCCGGAACATCTTTATCTTTGACCATCACGTTCACTCCTACTCCTCCTTTAGGACTCAACTCACTGGCTCCCGTGGCCTGTTCTTCTCTGTCCTGTCTCTACCACGCCACTGTACAAGAACCATGGAGTGGGGGGTTCTGCTCGCTGCCACGTTCACAGAGAAGCTCTCAGTATTTCCCGGAGGACTTGATGAGTGAACAAATGTTCAAATGCATGCATACATGTATGAAGGAATGAATGAATGAATGAATGAATGAATGGAGAAGTTTGCACTGAATTCCACCGAACCTTGTCTCTGCATTGGTGTCGGCTGCATGTGCTTCTCAGGTGGACTGTCTGTAACAGGGACCAATGGGAAGCCCTCTACTCTGATGCCATAGTCAACCTATACCTGGATAATTCCGGAAAACGGAGTTAAAATGTAAAAAGTAATGTCACTTAGACTTTCCTTCCTGAAATGCTTTACAAAGAGAAATCAAAGAGCAAAGCAGACCGGAGATGGCTCAGCAACCGCTTGGAGGTGTGGGGATACGTGGGGAGGCATGGGGAGGCGTGGGGAGGCATGGGGATATGTGGGGAGGCATGGAAATAACTAGATTTCCCTCAAGCCCCTTGAGTCTGGGTCTCAGGTTTAGCCTGGGAGCCGTTCCCACTACCCAAGAAGGGATTAACTGAACAGTGACCTCATCTTACATTTCACAATATGCGTGTCATCTAAGCAGTCTGTGCTGCCCAACGATTTCCTGTAAACATTTACAATGGTTTGAGGCACTGGGGCCAGTCCCCAGTGGTTCTGGGAAAGACTTTTAAAAATACGAGACAAGAAGGAACCTCAGCCCTGACTGCATGGGACACTGTCGAGTAATTACACAGCAGAGGTCAGGAGAGGGTGACCAGCAGCCTCGGGAGGGCCTCCCGGCTTTTGCTTTCCCAGTAATTTTCTGGGAAGATACAGAGCTGAGTTTCAGCATGATGAAGGTCACTGGGTTTGAAGTGCCCTCTGCCTCACACAGGGGCCCATGTGCCAGATGAGTGAGCCCCGCAGTGAGCCAGGGCCAGCAGCTCAGCTTTCCCTGCAGGCTCCAGATGCCATCGCAGCCTGCCTTGCCGAGCCTGGAGCTGCAGCCCCATCTTTGGTGCCCAAGGGCCAGTCCCTCCTGTTGACACCAGTGGGCACCCTAGCCGGTTTGGCTCAGTGGATAGAGTCTCAGCCTGCGGACCAAAAGGTCCCGGGTTTGATTCCGGTCAAGGGCATGTACTTTGGTTGCAGGCTCCTCCCCGGCCAGGGCCCCAGTCAGGGCTCATGCAGGAGGCAGCCAATCCATGTGTTTCTCTCACATCGAGGTTTCTCTCTGTCTGTCCCTCTCTCTTCTACTCTCCCTAAAAGTCAATGGAAAAATATCCTCAAGTGAGGATTAACAACAAACACATCAGTAGACTTTCCAATCCCTCCAATGTCTCCTTTGGAAATGGAGGTGCAGGGAATGAAGCATGAATGAAGAAGGATTTTACCTGCCTGGGAGGGTCATTATTTTCTACTTATTCACTGGATTAGCTTCCTGGCGGTATTAATTTCCACAAACTTGGGGGCTTAACGCAGCAGCAGGGCCTCACTCCCCTCAGAGGCTCTGGAGGCGGCTGGCAAACCTACTGTTTCTTGGTTTGTATCTGCATCGCTGCCTGTCTTCACTTGGCCTTCTCCCTGGGTCTTCTCTTCTGTCTCCTTTAAAGACCCTTGTCAAAGGATTTAGGGACCACCCAGGTAATCCAGGATGACCGCATCTCAAAATCCTTAATTACATATGCAAGGACCCTTTTCCCAAATAAGGTCATCTCTCCGTTTCCAGGGGGACATGTTTTTTGGGGGGAGGAGGGAATGGGCACCATTTAACCTGGTGTACCCTCAGCAATAGAGGAGAAGGACCTCACAAGGGTGGGCCTCTTCGCTGCTCATACTAACCTAATCGCCTTTGTGTGGACTTTGGATCTGAGCATATGGTTGCAAAGGAGGAAATGAGCATATAGTGAGGGCCAGTGAGGTGCTGGGCCCTGTGCTGCCTGCTTTCTCCTCAGCACCTCCCTGTGCAGAGACAATATTAGCCCCATTTTATAGACGAGATAACGAAGGTTAGGGCACCAGTAAGTGGCAGGGCAGTAGCTCAAATCCAGGTCCAAAGTTCATCCCCATGCCTGGGGCGGAGAGGGGAGAGCCTGGGCTCACGGTCGCAAGGTCGGCTCCTGCGTGGCTTGAGCAGCATTGCTTCCTCTCCTTGGACCTCACATGAGCTAGACCTCGCTCCCCAAAGTGAGGTTCCGGGACCTGCTGCATCAGCGTCACCAGGGAACTCACTGGAAATGGACAGTCTCTGAAACCCCTCAGGTCCTCCCAGTCAGCGCCTGCATATTAACGAAGACTCAAAAGCATGTTAGGTTTGAGCAGCTGGGGACTAAGAACATCTCCATGGCAGCTTTCCTCTCTAAGATCCTCTTTCTGTTTCTGTGAGGGAGAATGGCAGCCATACTTTTACGTTGGGGTCCATACACTCTCAGGATTGAGGCATTGTCTTCCGAACGGCCCTGCGGGGATGAGGGCAGCAGAGGGACACAGAGGCCTGAGAGGAAGGCCTGACAAAGAGCATCAGCATTGGGGGGACAGTCAGGGGCTATTGCCCCCTCAAGACCAAGACCAGTCACTACTTAGGAAAGGGGAGGAGAGACACCAAAAAAACAAGGAAATCTCTAAGTTTCATGTTGCTCTTTGAAAAAATCAAATATTATTTTGTGGTATAGCATTCTTGTTATTTTGAATTGAGTAGATGGTGAGTGGGTAGAAAGTGCACGTAATCTTTTGAATTATGGGGCCCCTAGACCTGCTCTACTCAATACAGTGGTAACATGTGGCTGTTGAGGACTTAAACTGTGGCTGGTCCAAGTTGTAATGTTCTGTGAGTGTAGAATGCATATCACATTTTGAAGACTTAATGTGACAAAAGGGTTATCAAACATCTCATTAATAATTTTTATATTGATTGCTGAAATACGTTTGATACAGTATTGAGTTAACTAAAATATATAATTCAAGTTAATTTCATTTTTTTCTTTTAAAATCTGGCTTCTCAAAAAATGTAAATGACCCACAAGGCTCACCTTTGTGGTTGTTGGACAACAAGGCCCTGGACATTTAAATCCAGTCCTGGTAGGGATGGTATATCAATGAGATGGGTGCATGGTCTTGCTGACAACTTTTACCAATGATACAATTTTGCTTTGGCTTGTGCTTCTTGGTAAAGGTTGGAATGCTAGACCTTCAAACAAATAATAGCTTTCTAAGATAGCCCTAGTTTCTGTTCACCCACCCTCATTTCATAACTCTTTGGTCTTGAGCAAGATAATTAACCTCTGCGCCTCGTCATTCTCATCTGTTACATTATTATAATACAACTTTACAGGGTTGTTGGACATGCAGTACCCAGCTTAGCACTTGGCACTTAGAAGGTGCTCTACAACCGTGACCAACACAAGAGTGGTCCCACCTTGTGGCCACATCCAAGCACATCCAAAAGGGGGGAGAGAACAGTGCATGACTTTGCCATTCAGTAGGTGTCCCATCTGTGCTTACTGAACTACACCCGCATGGTGGGCTAAGAATGTGGGGATTTATCTTTAAACACAGCTGAATCATTCCCACACCCACTTCAGCTCTTGGTTCCAACCCACATCCAGGTGTTACGACCTCACTCACGAGGCAGCAGGGAAGCACCTGTGAGGCTGGCTCAGCCACTCTGCAAAACTCAGATCTAGAAACATCCTGCCCCTTCCAGGCAAATATATCTCCCGACAGTTGTTCAAACGTAAGATTGGCCAGGTCTGGATATAAGCTAGGGGCAGCTACTGCTGAGCTTTCCTCTGATGCCCCAAACCAAGCAACCTGGTTGACATCCTTCATTTCCAGTTCTCTCTCTCTCTCTCTCTCTCTCTCTCTCTCTCTCTCTAATTTATTTAGAAATACTTACTATGAAGAAATCTCTTCTACCACTTCCCTTCCAGATCTTTTCCAACCTCAATTCCTTTGAGTCCTCCCAACATTTCTTGGGCAATAAAGGGATACAAGGGGTTTAGATGACATTAGCATTCATGAACTATACTTCTCCTGAATTTTCTTCCACCTCCAGGGCAAATTAAATGTTGTACTATCCAGTTTCTAACTGTTATATCGAATCCTGAAAAGCAATAAGATCCGATTATAACTTTGGAATCTTTTATAGAGAACCTTAGAAGTAATCAACTTGGCTTAGCCTAGAGGACACAAGTTAACTGGGAAGTCATCTTCCTAAAGTCATGGGAAAGTTGGACATGAGATCAAATTTAATCAACTTCAAAAGTAAATTAGCAAACAAAATACATTCCATACCCATTCCTTTGCAGGCTTTGTTCAGCTTTTTGGCGTCTCGATTCACATCAAAACCCTGATGACTTCTCTCTTTGGCCTGCAGAAAATAATTGAACAGGAGAGTGGATAATAACAGGCATTCTTAAATTATCTGTGGCCAAAATTGGTAGCTAATTAGAAGAGCAAGCAGGTATGCAAATGAGGGACCAGCTGCCACTTTACATGTGGGTGTATGTGGAAATCAGCTGGGGACACTGGCCCCAGAGAGATGGCTGGTACTCCTTGGGACCAGCTGGCCTTGGGAAGCCATGGAGAATAGGCCCCTTTGTTCTCAAAGACAATCAGCCTGGCCAACTCTGCGCTGAGAGATTTTCATATCAACGCTACCTTTGTGTGAGTGTCTCTGAAACAGAGTGTAATGCGGTGGGCCAACATCCTGCAATGGTGGTTCCCCCTTCTGCCATGAGACACAAGTATGTCTAGGGAATAGGTGTTGCCACCCAGAAGCTGAGGACTCTAGGATCTTATTCCAGATCCACTTGGTGGACTGGGGGTAAAGCTTTGCCATTCACACAAAGAAAGACAATGTTTAGTTAAGCAGAGGTACCATACAGACCAGCCATAGCATAGTTACTGGTTTTTACTGCTCTTTGGGGAAAGAAAGTTCTATGTATACACTAAGCTAATGTTTCACATACTTCAGTCATTGGCATAATACATGCACTGATTTGTCCACAGCTACTTAATTCTACATTATTTATTACATTATTATTTGCTTACTATTTTTGTTTCAACCGACCTACTTTGTTTTTACTTAAAAGTTATTTTAAGAAGGAAACTTCTATTAGCACTAAGATGCAAAACCAGTATCGGTTGCCTAAGCAAAAGATAAACATGAAAATAAATGCATCACTATAAAAATGTTAAAAGTTAATTGCAGTTATGCAACTAGTAGCTTTGAACACACCCTGCATTTCTCAGTGCTTGGTCTTTCCTCACAGGGACTCTCTTTGAGGAGGTGTCACCGTTTCCCATCCTTTGGTGAAGGCGAGCTTAAGGGCTCCATCTACACCACCGATTCCCCCCTGCCTCCCTTCATGTCCTGTGGCTCCTATTGGGAATGAATAGTGCACATGTAAGGCCCAGTGGTCACATTGCATTTATCTGGCATCTCTAGTTCACGTGGTCTCATTGGACTGTCGGTTGTAGGGCTTGGGCCCCATTGTCTTGCCCCTAGTTGGGCACAAACCCTGTCACTCTGGCAGCTGTGGCTCGTTCAGGAGTGGGTAATCCAAGCAGCATTAATTAGAGTCTTTCCCTTGGTTGTGATATTGAGAGAGATACGTCTGTCCCCACTGGGCTTGCTAAGCTAGAGAGTGTGGGTCTAGGGCTGCTGGCATCCACACTGTCCACTACATGAAGGGAACGGAGTTCAGAATGAAGCAAAGCAGAGCTAATAAGAGTAAAAATA